TTATGCTCATTTTATCCTTTCTCAGGATGGCTCTGGACAGGTACGAGGAAATTAATCGCAGTGAGAGGTCCTGCACATCGGCTAAGCAAGCTAAATTGCTGCTGGGAGAAGATCAAGACACTTAAAGAAATACAAAATCATCTGCAAAAGGATGTGAGAAAATCCAAAGCCAAAATGGCAAAGAAGAAAATACAGGAGACTTAGAAGACATCCTTTAAAAAAATTAAAACATGTCCAAATAAGGAAAATAGAAGAGAACGGTCAACTATAAAAGGCCAGAAAATATCCTCAGAAATATTTGAAAAAAGGCATAAAGAGTAATAACAAATCTTTCTTCGGGCACCTCAGGAGCAGGAAGCCTGCCAGAGTCTATGGAAAAGATCTAAAAGGAATGCTCAGTGAAAAAAGAAGGTCAGACCAGAAAAACTAAGTTAACTTTCTGCCCTTGGACTCCAGGTTGGGCAGGCTCCCGTGCTGCGGTGCTCGCCCACAGCAAAGAGCTCAGGCAACAGGCACGGGTGACACACAACACCTCTCACACCGTGCTTCAGCGCCGGATGACAAGGGTGTAACTAACACCGTAACGATGTTTAAATCATTCCAGGATGAGCCTGGGGAACTACAGCCCAGTGGCTGCCAACGGTCCCAGACCAATTAACAGAACCTCGTTTCAACAACAGAGTAAGGGGCTGTGCAGAGGAGTATGACACACGGGGGAAACCCAACACAATTCTTGTGATGAGCAGGGATGACTGAAAATCCTTCTGGAGTTTTTGGGAAGAGCCCAGAGAACAAAAGAGCTGGACAATGACGCCTGCCCTCATCGCCATGAGATATCCACAAAGGTCCTTCACTGACAGTTCTTACCCTAAGCGGCTATGTGACCAGAGAGGGTCTTCCCACAGAAAAATAAATGAGCAAAGACTGGAAAATAATACCAGCTTTGAACGAGTGGGGAGCTGGCAAGAGCCAGGCTCTGGGCTGGGCGCACGCGGGTGAGTTTGCTTCAAAACGACACAGAAAAGGATGGTGATGGAAAGAGGTTCACAGTCACCCAGTTACCCAGCTCCTGCTGGGTGAGGGGTGGTCAGTGCCACCAACAGCACCGGGGGCAAGAAGGGCCCTCGGTGGGACCCGTGGGACTCTGCCGGCCTCCTTCCGCAGCTCTCCAAGGGGTTCCCCCCAGCAGCTCCCCTTTTTCCACATCCTCCCATCCAGCTGAGCTCCAGCCTTACTCAGCAGGACCCAAAGCTGGGAACAACATCTCTCCACTCTGAGAAATCACTCAAACACAGAATAATTAACACTGGAGTACCAACCGCCTCATTTAAAACCCGCTGAAGGTAACGGGAATCTGTCCACTGATTTCAGTTGTTTCAGTTTGGTTTTGTTTCAGTTTGGGTGCAAAACGACCGAAAACATCCCTGGCAATGGGAGAGCCTCGTCTGTGGCTCAGGGGGTAGGACTGCAGAACAGAACGCTACGGAGCTATCAGGAGCCACCAGCTACTACACAGCAATGTTACATGTTCTTACAGAGAGTGAAGATCAAGCTCATTTTATCCAAACAGAATAATAAAAATTATCTGAGTTGGCTCTTCAAGCCCAACTCCAGCCCCGCGATCCAGGTGGTAACATTGTTCAAATGGAAGAAACTTGGCCAGAATCTCACAAAAGCTCTGAAACATTTAACAAAAAATCAAGAGAAAAAACCCTTTTTTTTTTCTATTTTTGCTGCAAAAATCAAAGTGTTAATAAAACATTAAGAGTTATTTGCAATATTGGCCAGAGATTTCCAAATATTTCCAAATGCTCAGAAGACCCAGGAAACCGGTATCAATAATAATCTTGAATCAAAGAACATAAGAGAGAAAATAAATTACTGGTTTTATAAAACCATATTGTGAAGCTCTACAGACTAAACACACAAATACCTTCAGTATGTTAAAAATATTTGTAGGCCAAGTAGTATTTTCTGAAGAGGAAGTTCTGCTGCCAGAAAATTGGGACATTTTCATTTGAAGAGCAACGTGTCTCCAGCCCAGTACGGAACAGCAAGAGACCGTTATGTTAAACGGTCGGTGTGCTTGTCAGGAGCAATCAGAAGACTCTTCAAAGCAGTTTATGAACAATGCTTCACTAATTTCCTCTCAGAAAAGTGTCTGGGAATACAGTGATATGTTTGGACATGGTTTAGATGCTGTAAAATTATGTCAAAAAATGTAACGAAGGGAAGTTCTCATTTTTTAAAGCGAGGTGTATTAACGAGGGACACTGGGGAGATCCGTGCTCTGGTTGGAGAGCCACCTTTCAGCCTGCTATAGTCAGCAGTCACTTAATCTGGCATTTCTGTAAAGAATTTTAGAACATTTTGCATTCAGTTACTATGGTTACATATTACAACAATCATGACTGTTGAGTTCATATGAAATGTAGGAAAATTAGAGCTATGGCAAACACAAAGCACATTTAATCCCTGTTTACGCCAGAACGCTAAATGTTTCCTTTAAAAATTCTTTATACATATACTTCACAGCACAGAACAGATGCAAAGATCTGCTTTCTGATAACATCTTTTCAGTTGCACTTTCCCTGGTAACAGTACTGAGCACAAGTTACTTAAAGCCGTCGTACAGTACATTTCACGTCTATATAAAAGCCAAATTACAATATTAAAATTATTTCTTTGCCTTCCTCTTCATGTCTTTTCTTACCTTAGAACTACAGGACAACCTACCAACATAATCAGGTTTCCTTATTCGTGATGTATCTAATAAAAACCTTTCAGCACATATCTGAAAGACCTGCATCGCCTGGTTTGCAACCAGACCGTGCAATATATTCTGATTTACATCACTGCACTTGTTTTCCTGGCTGCAGGTGGCTCTATTGTAGACACAGTTTTCTTCTCACAATTTTCCTTATCAGCTGAGCAAATCAAACAGCCTGCTATGTCAAGTTTTCCTGTCTCCCTGGAAAGCCTGAACGACACACCCACAGCGCTTCAGCTCCTCCTGCCGCATCACCGTGCCTGCGCCTACCCACCGCCTCACCACGCTTTGTGACCTGTTCACTCCTGTCTATCCATCACACCCTGCACCTTTTTTCCTTGCAGAGAAAACTGCCCTAGAGGACAGGAGAAGCCCAGATCCCACATTTTTTTGATGCAAAAATGACCATGTCCACTTTTTTCCCTCTTACTCTTGCTTTATTTCACAATACAGCTGTCCCTTTTATCTACCACTTTTAAGGACAGCATCTGCATAAGCAAAGTCTTTCCTTTCCAGTTCATCTCAGCAGCATAGAGCAAAGCCTCCTGCCAGAGCAGAGAGCAGAGAACAAACGCGCCTACAAACAACGTTTCCCCTGGTTACAGGAATCAAAGAACTTCCTGACTTTCAGAATCGTGCCGTGGGAAAAGTCACGCTCAGGCGCCTTAACAAACCCAGTGGTACTGAAACCAGGGGTATGAACCTTACAAACACTTGCCAAACTTGACAAAATTTGCCTGCTAAACACCATGTATCAAAAAAACAAAACAAAAGAAAAAACAAAAAACAAAAAAACAAACAAAAAAACCCCAAAAAACCAAACCATATTGTTATTAGTAAAAACAACACAGAATCCCAATCCTGCTCCTACTGAATTCAGTAACAAACCTGTTATCATCTTTGGTGGGATTAGAATTAGACCAGAAATATAAAAATCAAAGTTATTCTGTTGTGGAATTCCCATTCTTCCATCTGAGCACACACCAGCACCTTCTGCGTGCAAGACCGTGCAATTCCCTTCTAAAAGCGGCGGATGTTTAAGAGACAACACGTACGTACACAGCACGTGTATGGCCTTTTGGATGAGAAGGGACTCAAAGGCTGCTGTCCCGAACAGCTCTCACTTTTAAGGGCAGAAAACCACTTTGGTAGCAGATTGAAGCTTTTTTTGGTTGCTTTTCAAAACAGTAAATGTAACTCAGAACAGAGGAAATAGAGTTTCTAAAAAAAAAAAAAAAGTTTTCCACTGCTACCAAGAATATTGCCTTTAACAGAACAACTAGCTTTCCCTTAAAAAAGGAAAGTGATGTGGATAAAAGCCCACAAGAAGTAGTGAAAATGTCACTATCTCCCATTATAGGCAAAAATCTCCTGTGTAGGAGATTTTCATAAATGCATCCTTGCTAAAAAGGGCTAAAGGGCTTTTAAAACGAGCTAAATAACATGCAGTTCAATATTAGCAACATTTTCTAAATACAGTCTACTGCCACCACTGTAAGTCTCACTTCTAATGGGGACATACAACCCCCGTTTCTAACAATCCCCAAATCTGGGGATATATTTTCTTTGGTTAGGATCCCTGCTGCAGAAAATTCTATAATGCTGCTCTGAACACAAGACCGTATTCCTCGCTTTATGCAGTGCAACTTTCTATATTTATTTTTCATTTCTTTACGGTTTCCTTTTTAAAATACCATTAAAACGTTGGTAAAATTACAGCAACAAATTATAGCAACTCACTTTATGGTAAATTGTACCGAGAAACACCAGCAAATTGACATTTCTTCCACATCCTGTTGATACATTTCTAAATAGCGTCATAAACCAACAAATACATTTCACTTCTGTACAGGTCGTATGGGGAGACTGTTCTACTGAGGTTTCATTGAGCATGTTCCCAATACACCAGATTGCTTCTTGATGAGAAAAATACCGGCACACAATCACTGACCAGGGTTATCTCACGTCTTTTTCCAAATTTTTTTACATCTCGTATTTGAAAATTTCATATTACAGATTTTGGATACTGAGTTCCAGCGAGCTGATGTACCAGTCTCCATCTCCCATTGTATGTTCACCCTTTGCTATCAGCTTTCAGCAGAATTTCTTTAACCCATGGGAAAAACAACTCTTAACAGAAATTACTCTACTGCGTTGCTAACAATAAAAATAATAATAAAAACTGGAAATTTCAGGTGAAAGAGACTAATGTAAATATTCAGTCACTTACTTTGGTAGAGTTTTCAAGTGATTTTCTCTTAACTCCAAAATTCGCAATTTGACAAGTCTAGAAAATACATTGGAAAATAATTAGTTCATTCAATGACTTACTTCAGGAATCCATAACAATGGTTTGAAGTTACTTATTTCAACAAAAAAAAGAGTCCAATTAATTGCACAATAGCAAGATGTCCAGTTATTGGGAGGATGAATACAATACAAAATGTATTCAGAACCAATGAGCTTCATGTAAGGACACACCTGGCCCTGTCTGAACTCTTCTGAAAAACTTTGACATCTATCAGTTGTTCACAGTAATTCAAAACTATTTTTATTAATTATCGAAACCAAGGCAAATATAGTTAAAGTTAATTTCTCTCAACCATTTCCAGATCTATTAAAGGATAAAAAGCAACTGCTATTTAGTTCACAGCTTTCTTTTGCATGTTTTGAGCACTGAATTCTACAACTCCACCCAATTTTCCCAATATCATGCTCTTCCAGAAAACTCTGATTTTATCCTTTTCCTACCAAATAAAGCAGAAAACCTTTCAAGTCCTACAGTTGTGCTTAACCAGGACTAAAAAGAACAACTATAAATGAGAAATGTGGAGAGATGTTCCCACGATGCTCAGGTAGGCTCCGTTCCTGACTTCATTCACGTGGCTAAATGAGACTAAAACAGACTAACCGAACATTGCTGCACCAGGAGATATAGAGAAAGCACTAAAATTCGGAGAAGAGCAACAAGGGAGATGTGGTTAAAGAGCTATGTGGGGCTAGTTAAAAAAAAAAAAAAAAAAAAAGAGCAATGTCTGTGTGCTAATGTGGGAAGCCTTGGAAACATGGCAAGGATTTGTAAAATAGCAAATAGATAATATAGGAGCAGAATAACAATAAAGGACCAACAATCACAACTGGAATTAGTGTCATTTTGTTTAGACAAAATATGCATTTGTAAAAGAAAAAAAAAAAGTTAGTGCTTTCTGCTAAAAGATTTCGGATACTAGACGTGTTCTTAAGAGATAATGAATACCAACACCACACACCTGATCAACTGCAAGGTGTTTGGTAAATCCATTTTCCCTTGCCATTTGAACATAATGATTCCCAACTGCAGAAGCAGGCTGGTTCAGGATTTACTCTGATACTCATCAAATGCAAACAATGACAATTTTTCTTCCTCTTTCTTCAGCTAGGATTTTCTAAAAGGTATTCCAGCGTGAAGCCCAGACTCAGCTTGGGGGCAGCAATGGGCCCATCACGTCAATGCTGATAAAGCAGCACTTTCTATTCTCTCTCCATGCCTCAGCCTATCAATGGCATTTCCAACACAGATCATGTCACCTGAGTATGCATTTTGGACCGTGAGTTGATGTTCCCAGTTGAACAATAAAATACACACAGGGTAGCTGGATGGAGCAGGAGAAAACTACTACTAGGTGAATTCTGCAACACCACCATGGATTTTCTCTGTGAACCCTTTGCTTTCGGAGCTGTTCGCCCAACTGGACAACCCGAGGGCAGCAAGGCTGACCACTCCTCACCAGCCCAACAGAGCTACAATAACCTTGACATTGCCGCCAGACCTGTGCAGCGGGAGGACCCACGGGCTTCTGCTGCCCTCTTAATGGCCATGGCAAATTGTGCTAACTTGGATTTCCCCCCCTCTGCTTTGTCCTCATCTAACACTTCTTGGCTCCGTTTCTGCTGCATTTATTTTTACTCCCATTCTACATCCTCTCTGCCCTGCTGTCTTTTGAATCTTCTCTCTTGTTCTTGCTTTCACATTTTTCCTTTGGTTACTCCGCCATGCTCAGTCATTTCTTTCTTCCTTCCTGACTCACAACACTTTATCTTTCTGTTCATTTTTCAACGGCCATAGACCCCATTGTTATTCTCTACCTTTGCCACAATTTAATAATATATTTGATCAAGGACAGGCCTCTTCTTCAATTTCTATTTCTTCTCACCTTCTCCCTGATTCACCAAGCTGCACCACTTCATCATAAAATTCTCGATGACATAACATTCTCTCTAACAATAATTCATCAAAATAGGGCTGGTTTGGTTTTTTGTTTTGTTTTGGTTTTTAAAAGAATACAGGTTTAAAACGGTCCCTTAAACCCTAAACCGGGTTCATAGGAAAGAGCGACGTGCTTTGGTGACTAATTCTTACCTTCCAAAGTTAGCTGGAAGAAACTCCAAAAAGGCATCATTTAGATAGAGCTGGGTCAAATTTAGAAGCTGTGTGAAGCCATCTGGCAGCCTAAAAACACAGTTAAAAGCTTAATGCTCACACCGAAGTTGCTATGGAAATAATAACAATGTCTATTTAGAAAGAGAAAGATGACTTTCTCTCTCACCTTCTTTTTCTACCCAAATTCTCAAGAAGAACTTGTTACAGCCAACACTGGTGCCTGTTCTCATCTTTGCCACATTGCTGTAACCAGGTGAAATCCAAATTCCTGGCACATTCAGGCTCCATCAGCCTTTTCTCCCTTCCTAGCTGGGGGTTGTAAGCCAAAGGTGTTTTCTTTCTTTCTATCCTTTTTTTTTAATTTTAATGGAAATAGTAAAATTTCATCCTTTCACCTCCTTCACTCCATTTCATAAATCACAGGGTTACAACACAGATTTTTTTTTTGTTACTACTATTGCAAGGTTTTGGAAAGAATAAGGGTTGCCAAGGTCCCAACCACGAGCTGACGGTACGTGAGGATGCAGCGTGGCTTCCTTAACAAATCATAAAACACGAGCCCCGTGTGTTTACAAGGATGCATCATATGGACCGCCTTGCCAACTCCTCCTTTACCGTGTGGAAAGACACCACACTTGATGCATAGTACACAGACCTTTCCATAGATACATCAACCTTGGATTTCAAGCAATTAAAAAGAAAGTTAGATCAATCCTGTAAATGAACTTGATACAATGCCTTTATATTTAGTTCACTTTGTGTAAATTTCCCACACTTGCAGTACAGAAACACGAGCCACTGATACTCACTTAGAGACCGGATTGACACTGGCTTCAATAATTGTTAAACACTTACAACATTTAATATTTTCTGGAAAATCTTGAATTCCTAAAAAAAAAAATTGAAAAAATTATTATACACACATAGAAAACTATTGAACTTTTTTGTTCATAAATTAGTTCATTTGGCATTTTCAGATCAGACTTAAGCTATAAGAGGAAGAATATTTTAGTATTAATATTTATTTTAGTACTGATATTTTAGTATTATAGTCTAGAAGATGATACTTAAGCACTGAATAAATACACCAGAGCAGACAAAACGCCTTGTACTAAAACTATTATGCTAATACTCCATTTATATAATCTTCTAGAGTTAAATAGTGGCATAATTTGTACTGATATTTCTGCTTTTCGTTTCTTTCCGAACTGCTTATCTTTTTCTTCTTTGCCTCTCTCTTCTCTTGGGAGAACACACATATAGCCCTCAGGCTCTAAGCCTATACTGATAACAAATTTCTCAAAATTTTCAAGAGTGCCTGAGCCTCATTTTCAAAACAAAGACACTTAAGTTCAGTCATGCAAAGGCTTTTTTAGGCACACAAATATGTAAATGCATAATTTGGAAATGCACATCAGCAAATTAGTCACTGGCTATGTAAATCCTGGTAGCTGTTTGCTGGCAGCCTTACAGGCTTCAGTACATTACCCAAGAGCCCAGCAAGTGCTAAGCCACCTTGGAAAGCAGAATGGTTCATCAGTCCACTGATAAATGGACTCCCACGCCTAATTCTAACGCTTATCAGTCATGAGTCATCACGGGATACTATGCTAAAGCAAGCCTTTTTTGTTGCCTTTTTTTTTTTTTTTTTTTTTTTTTCCTCCAGAAGAGTAAACAAGGTAGATATCTACCCAGACTTCTCAAAAGTGCCAGGCAGGAAAATAGAACATCACCTAGAAAAAGAGCAAGTTTTCTACAACGCGAGTTTGTTAATCACTAGGAATTAAAACTTCATTATTGTTCATACGTATTATGACTCTTTAAAATACTTATCCTTTGGATTTCTTACCATTTTTACTGATATCGAGTTCTTTGAGATTAACTAAGCTAGCAATAGTGGTTGGCAGGCTGGAGAGGTCGTTGTCTGGTATACTCAGCTTGCGTAAAGCTTGACAGTTGAACAGTTGCTGTAACATAAAAAGACACTTTGCAGTGTTTCAGGAAAAAGATCCGGTTGGGATCGTTATATCTACACAGAAGCAAAACCATATTTATTACCTAAGAATTCAATAATCAACCAATATTTGGAAAAGCCATTATTTGAGAAGCCATTCTTACAGGTTGCTGGGTCTCACAAACACAGCCTGTACACACCTGACAAGAATAATCCAAACAGCTCG